GGGGTGAGGGAGGTGGGAGCGTCGTCGGGCGTTGGATTGGGACAATCCTGACCGATCAATGAGAAATAAGGATGTAAAAATCAATTGGTAAATAATAGGGTAGAATTCAGTTTCAGCAAATATAGAAATAATGGTTAAAAAGCTTACAGTCATAGGGCCTCATCTTTTCACTTGTGCTTTTTTCTTATCAACCAAAATTTGAATTTTCAATTTTAAATTTGGAGCTGATTTTGAGATTTTTTTTATTGATCGCTAAGAACACGTATATAAAAGTTTTATTCACAAATTACTTTTTGTTAGTGAAACGATGGCTGCGATATTTCATCAAATTAGAATTTAATATGTTTTAATTAAATTTTCTCGTTTTTTCTTTCCGTTGCAATGCACGGACACTTTTGCTAGTACCTAATTAAGAAATACGCGAAACTCCTGATGGGGATCGATCGGCCCTAGCGATCGGGTTGCCCCCCATCTCCTTCACGTGGTTTCTTTTTTTTTTTGCACCGCATTACTTTCCTATTTTAGTAAATTTATACACCTGAAGTTTGTACACCTCAAGTTTACACATCTAAAGTTTACAGACCCAAAGTTTATAAATCAAAAGTTTATATATCCGATTCAAATTTAAATTTGAATTATCTCCACAAAAAAAATTAAATTTGAATTCAAATATTTTTTATATAAAGTATTTCTATACATCTAAAGTTTATACACCTAAAGTTTATAGACTCAAAGTTTATAAGTCAAAAGTTTACATACCCGATTCAAATTTGAATTTGAATTATATCCGATTCAAATTGGAGTTTGAATTATATCCGATTCAAATTTGAATTTAAATTCAAATATTTTTTATATATAGTATTTCTGTACATCTAGTCTATAGACCCAAAGTTTATAAGTCAAAAGTTTACATACCCGATTCAAATTTGAACTTAAATTCAAATATTAGTTTATAGGCCCAAAATTTATAAGTAAAAAGTTTATATACCCGTTTCAAATTTAAATTTGAATTCAAATATTTTTCCATTTCAAATTTGAATTTGAATTCAAATATTTTTTATATATAGTATTTCTATACATAAATTTTTCTAATTTTTTTTATTTTTTTTTAAATTTATGGTGTAGTAGGAAGAGAAGAAGGGGAGGAGGAAGGGGGAGAGGAATATATAGGGGATGGGGCGAGCGATCGCCCATCAGCCACGCCCAGAAATACGTAAGGCTTCAGCTAAAAAATTTTCTCCGTCTTCCCATTTTTGTCTTTTTCGCCGTTTTCCTTTCTTTTTTTCTTTTCCCTTTTTTCCGTTTTCTTCCATCCGACCGTCTCTTTTTTTTTCTTTTTCACCCTTTTTTCCTTTCCTTTTTCCTTTTCCATTTTTTCCGTTTTCTTCCGTCCATCTTTTTTCGCCGGTTTTTCCTCTTTTTTTTCTGTCCTTCTCTTTCGCCTTCTTTTTCCTTTTTTTTCCTTTTTTTCAGTTTTTCTTCATCAGCTGCTTTTTTACTCTTTTTTTTCGTCACCTTATTTTTCAATTAATTGCAAAAATCGATTCCCCGTTACTCCTTTATCATTTTTCCCATTTTTACCTTTCAATTCTGTTTTAATTCACCGGATTTAGTCTTTATTTAAAAGTCAATGTTTTTATCCCGATTTTTGCGGATTCGCTTCGATTTTGATAAAAAGGAAAGAGCAGATCGATTGTATAAAAGCCATCAACCAATTTTGGAAAATCTAGAAATATTTGACCGGATTTGATGGGGAGGATCAGTTCTGGCATTATATGAACATGAGATGTTTTCACCATTTTCCAGAGGTTGAAGACGACAGTCAGCTATACGAGCTGGAGCTACAGCTCTACTTGTGGGTTAGGTCAAAGAGAAGCAGTCTAAGCAAAGGAGGTGGCGGTCTAGGCTGAAACTGAAAAGAAAAAAAAAGGGAATAAGCTTTTGTTCAAAAAGCAAAGAGTAAAATGTATAGGGAGCTTTTGGTCCAAAACTAAAGAATCTAAAAATATTTTTACCCATCGCAACATACAGGTATTTTTTCTAGTGAAAACTAATATCCACCGACCAAATCTAGATTAGTCTAAATTTATAATAGAAATTAAGCACGAGTAACGCGTTGCACGCATGGAACGATGAAAATAAGCACGATGAACACGTACATGATTGCACAAGGGTTAGCTCTGATCGAACCACCACATGCACGCTCTCTCGCCAACATGCAGCTTATAAGCATCTTTAGTGGACTAAAGATCCGGCCTGACACCCTCTAGCAACCGGCGAACCGACACTAAAGATCATATAGTCCTGTTGTCCTTAAAAACCAGGACTAAATAATGACGTTTAGTCCTGGTTTATAAGAGAACCGAGACTATTGTAAAATTTGGCCGACCGATCGAAGATCGTTTCTCCAGTAGTGTTACTTAGTAATTTTATCTAATTAAATAGCAATACAACAGCATATAAATTAATATACACAGGTCAACACTGTTATCGTCGTCAACATAAGCAAATTAATCAAGCTAGCTAGCCTTTTGCCATTCCAAGTTCCAACCATGGCCAGCTAGTGGTGCACAAGGGGGATCACCATGGTCTCACCATCACCCTCCTCTTGGCCGCGGCCTTCTTCTTCCTCATCCTCCTCTCCTCCTCCCTCGTCAAAATCAACGAGAAACCGCCCAAGTTAGACCACAGGAAGCTAGCAGCTGCAGCAGGTGGCACAAATGTCGTGGAGGGGCGGATAGCGGTCTGCCTCGTCGGAGCGGCACAGCGGTTCGAGCTCACCGGACCGTCTATTGCGTGGAATGTGCTAGCGCCGCAGTACCCGCACGCCGATCTCTTCCTCCACAACCCGCTCGACCGTGACTCCTACAAGTTCGGCCTCCTCAAGGACGCGCCTTGAGTGGTTGCGGTTAGGTTCTTCCGCCCACGACATATACCCGAGACAATTCGCGCGCATGCCAGACTCCTTACTCGCCCATGGGTGTACGGGTAATTTTGCAGCTCTCAGTTTCGTTGTCTTCTGTTTGAGAAATTAATTAATTCTGTTTTCACAAAATCATCTGGAAAGAAAAATAAAAGAATAACTTTGTACACACTACTAAAAAATGATTTTCCAAATAGACAAAATCGATTTTCTTATGCGGTTGTCTGGCCCGCATGCGAGAAAATGTCTGCGAAAATCCCTATTTTCTATGTGGTTAGCGCATATGCATGCAAAAAGGTAATTTTCGCATACGAAACCTTAAGCCAACTACATGCGGAATATTTTTTGGCAAAAAAAAAAAAAAAACTCTAGCCATCCCACCACGTGCCGGACGCCCGCTCCGGCCGCCCACCGCCGTCACCTCGAGTCCTTGTCGTCATGCGCTGTCGCCCTTCGCTACCACCCACCGACACACCCACTCGCCTGCTGTCGCGCGTCTTTTGTCGCTGCCACTGGATCCGGGCGGAGGACGGCCGTCGCTGCCGCTCGTCTGCCTGTCGACGCGCCAATCCACCCGCCATCGTGCTCCTCTCGCCTTTGCCGCCGCTCGCCATCGCGCCTGCTGTCACCCGCCCCATCGCCCCCGCCCAAGGTCAAGGGCGGTGGATCCGTCATCACCAACCCTCCGTAGTGCTGTCACTGTCACCCGCCCAACCACCGCCCGTCCGTCGTTAGTAGCTGCCGCCACCGGTCGTGCGGGCGCCAAGCCCACCGTCGGCTGCCGAGAGAGAGAGAGAGAGGAGAGGAGGAGGTTATAGAGAGAGGACTGAGAAGTGGTGGAGAGGGAAGAGGATAAGAAGAGAAGTGGTGGAGAGAGAGAGAGGACCGAGAAGAGAAGATAAGGTTGCCTGTGAAAATTTTTTGAAGTGGTGGAGAGGGAAGAGGAGAAGAGGAGAAGTGGTGGAGAGAGAGAGGACCGAGAAGAGAAGATAAGGCTGCTTGTGAAATTTTTTTTTGAAGTAGTGGAGAGGGAAGATGAGACAAATCAGACTTAGCAGACCCTTACGAGACCCGCATTCAAAAATGATTTTCTTATGCGGACCTCTTAAGGGTCCACATGCAAAATGAGCATACGGCCCCTAAAGAGACCCGCATACAAAAATGAATTTTTGCGGGCCTATTAAGGAGTCGTATGCGGAAATGCCTGCTCGATTTTTACAGGTGCGGGTTGTTATGGTCTGTCTGCAATCTAACGAGGATCTCGTTCAGAAAAATCATTTCTGTAGTGGTGATATTATGTGAAGTATTTTGCCCAAATGTTAGTTTTTTTTAATATGTGTTGTCGTGCGTTTCATGGCAATTTGGTGAAAAAAATCTATAACTTGCTAAAGCTAACTAGAAAATAAGCTTCATAATTGAGATGTATGGTGCCACACGACAAAATTTCTCCTGTCACCATTGTAAAATTGTCTTGGGAAATGAAAATGTTCCCATATTCTTTGTATGCCTACTCTGAAAAATGCTTGAAAAATGGAACCATAGCGAATTTACAATTACTTGATTTGGTGTTAATCCACGCCAAAATTAAATTAAGTCTCTGAATCTACCTACTTTTGACCTCCAAAGATACATTATGCAGCAGCAAGGCAAACTAACCTGGTACTAAACTACTAACTATTATATTGATCAATTGATTACATAATTCACGTGTCGAGCAATGCTTATCTTCCATCCTTGAAAGCTGAATATCATTCGAAACTAGCCTTCGTGTTCTTGTTTCCAAGATGGAATTAAATCTTCTTCAAAACGTCATTACAGCCAAAGAAAAGCATGGGAAATTTCAATCTAATGTCATAGGAAAACTTCCTCTCCTCCTAACTTCTACCAACAAGCATTTGCGATCCACAAAACAACACTGATTCTCCTCGAATCCATCTTGAAAATCACACTAAAAAACACTGATTCTCCTTGACCCCATTTTCCATGCATCTTGAAATTAAATCACGAGACAGTTTAGTAGGATCCGTGGCTATTTAAGCCGCTTGATATGATGACTGGTAGCTCACTGGATCATCAGCAAAGACAAGAAGACAAGAACAAAGCAAGCATGGAGAGATCAGCACTAACAATGGCGCTGCTTCTGCTTCCGCTGCTCGCCGTGACGGCGAGCGCCCAGGTGTTGTGCCGGTCGCAGTTCAACCTCGCCAACGAGGCGTGCAGCATGCGCACCTTGCCGGGGGTCATGAGGCCGCCGCTCGTGCCGCCGCGCCCGCTCAAGCTCAACGAGACGTCGGTCACCGGCGGCGGGAGCCGCAGGCACGGGCTCCAGTCTCGGGGCGGCGGTGGCGGCGGCGGCGACGAGTATGACGACGACGGCGACTACTACTACGACGCCGACGGCGAGGAGCAGGGAGGAGGCGGCGGCGACGAGGAGGGGCGTGGGCGGCGGCGGCGCCACCGGCACCGGCGCAACGTGGACGACGACGACGAGAGCAGGGAGGACCCCCACGACACGGCGTGCTGCCGGCGCCTCATGTCGCTGGACAACTCGTGCGTCTGCCAGGCGGCGGCGCGGCTCCCGGCGTTCATGACCGCCGTCCGGCACGTCGTCCGGCTCACTCCCGTCGACGGCTGCCACGTCACCTTCGAGTGCCCCGGCTCCTTCTAGCTTATATGTCGTCACAGCTCGCGTCGTCGTCGTCAACTCAGCCATAGATAATATAATTCAGCAGAGGATGATTCCAATTACTGCAGAATTAATTATTACTACTACTGATTGAGATGAATAATATGTTACACAGTTTACAGTTGATTGTAGGTAAATGGAAGAATTACCTGGTTGATTTACAATTAATGTAATATGTAACTCGATCATGCATGGATTGGCATGCAGAGATCGATCTATCGATGAAGAATCGATCGATCACAACAAAAGTGTACGTACGTGTTGGTGTTGGGTTTGTCACGTACGTCACATGAAGCCGATATCGAAGAGGAAGGAGAGATCGTCGCTGTCGCTGAGCTTGAAGTCCATGTCGTTGTCATCCAAGAACGGCAGCGGGAGGTGCCCAAGATCGGCGAGGCCGAAGCCGAAGCGGTCATCCTCGTCGGCGGCGAGGTGGTCATCCTCCCCCAGGAATGTATCGACGACGAACGGCGGCGGATTCAGCGGCGGCGGCGTCGCGGCAGAAGCTGACGACGACGGCGGCGGCGCCTCCTTGGACGACGGGGACGCTGATGAGGCCGTCACTTGCGATAATGATTCCGTCGTCGTCGTTGTCGTCACCGTCGCCGTCGTCTGCGTCTTCTTCCGGCGGCCAGATGCACGCCGCGGCGCCGGTAGTTGGATCTTGACGCGGGCAGGTGACGGCGCGATGGCGACGGCGGGGGAGGAGGCGCCGGCGCCGCCGCGGGACAGGGAGGCGCGGACCTGCACCTCGAAGGCGTCGTAGGCGGCCCTGGCCTCCTCCTCGGAGGGGAACGTGCCGAGCCATTGCCGGACCTTGAGCTGGCTGTCCCGGAAGTCCACCGCCCACCGCCCGGGCTGGCGCTGGTACACGCCGCCGCGGGAACCCTTCTTGGCGGCCGCCGACGCCGACCTCGCCGCCGCTACGGCGCCACGACGCATCCCGTCGCTCGACGACGGCCAATCTTCCGCCTCCACCGCCTTCGCCGCGGCCGCCGGAATTTCGGAACGACGACGACGATAATGACGACCGGACTGCGATAACGATCTTCCCTTCTTCCTGGACAGCGAGATGACGATCACCTTCCGGCGTGCGGCGGCGTTGGTCCTGCTGCTTCGGCTGCTGATATCGTGGTCGCCGGCGTCGGCGGAGTCCGAGTCGGAGTCGGAGTCGGTGGCGTCCGGGTCGGAGTAGGAGATCCGGATCCTCCGGAAGGCCACCATCGATCAATTCGGTGACGATAGAGTCGACTCCGTCACGTCGCCGTCGCCAACTGACGCGGTCCCTGGACGTCGTAACGTGCGGTACTGTGATTTGGTCTACGAAGATAATATCGATCTCGATCAGTTTTTGATTCTGCTCGATCCCCTAACGCAGTTGATGACTCCATGAAATTAGGGAGGAAGTTTTACGATACGAGTGAGGAGGAAATTTCACGGGACTAAAATTCTCTCGATGCATGACTCGAAGAGCTTCCTTAATACAAACTCCTAATCACTACTTAAAAGAGTGTTCTTCATGGTGGCCTAAACCGATTTTCGCTGGCGGTACTACTAGCCGGCAATAGATTTTTGTTCATGGTTGCGATAATAGATTTTTGCTTACGACCACTTAATATGATCACCCATGAAAATTTAAATCCACTTGCGATAATAGAATTTTGCTTGCAGACACTTAAGAAGATCGCCTGCAAAATCAATTTTCGCAGGAGACACAACTAATTAAGAGGACCGCCAGCGATATCCTTTTGGGAAAAAAAAATCAACATCTAGAGACATTGTTGCATTTTCAAATTTTAAATCCACGTCTAGAAAGCTAGATTCAAATCCAATCCATATTCAAATTGACATCCAAGATCACTACATTGATTTCTCACTGCATTTTAAACATGCAAACATCAACACTACTCATTGTCATCAACGATGACCTTGGAGGCTGCTGAAGCCGCCGTGGACGAGCTACCGCCACCGGCGGCCGCCTCCCTATGGTCAGATCTAGGATAGGGATAGGATGGGAGGGGAGTGGGGAAGTCACCGTCAGTGCCACTTCTACTACTTCCACCGTCAACGGTCTCCGGTCATCCTGCCACCAGATTTGACCCCCATCGCCACCACGGACGCCGTTGCCGAGAGCATGTTGAGGCTGGAGGGAGCCGCTATTGTCGAGAGCACGCACCTGGAGGCTGGATATGGGAGAGGGGAGTGGGAGGGTCACCGCCGCCACACTCTTTATTGCGCCACCGCGACCAGCCTCCTCCCATACCACCATCAGATCTGCCTCCCATTGCCCTCGTCGCCATCGCTGTCGCTCCACAGGTGAAGATGTATGGTGAGAGGAGGAGGGAGGAGCGGCTTGAGAGAAGAGAAGGAGTCGTGAAGTTGGGATGTGGGGAAAGTTGAGATGGTGCGGAGCTATTTGATATATAGGGCGGTTTTTTTCCATGTGGTCCTCTTTAGCCTTCGCTAGCGAAAATTGGATTAAGAGCCGTATAAATGGAGTTATTTTTAGAATTCCTTGTCCTATCTAACACCCTTCATAAATCAGCTAAGTGTCCATCAACACTTTTAGACGTCACAATCACATCATCTATATAGATTCACCCAACAAGCCGATGAGATCATGAATATATAATTCATAGATCTTTGATATGTAGCACCAGCAGTCTTAACCCAAAAAGTCATAACAACCCACTCGTATAAGCCAATTGCTCCAGAACATCTAAAAGCAGTCTTCGGAGTATCTTCTTCAGCCTAAAAATTTGATTGTTTCCTGCATTGCCATCCATAATACTTATAATCTTATGTACAGAAGCTGCACCTGAAATCCAAGGTGTAGCCTAGAAGAGGGGGGGGACAGAAATTTTTCGGCAGCTATCAACCGAAGACAGAGAGGTCTGCCCGGTACTTCAGTGGTTCTTTTCCAAAACTTCTGGAGTTCTTGCCTCACGAGACAAAGTCTTGATTCTCAAGGAACCCCAACACTTGCCAACCTCACAGAGGACACATATTAGCACCACAAAGCAGGAAATCACACGAAATACATTGATTTGCATAAGAGGGGAGACATGGGATCATATGAATCCTACTCTCCATTGGGGACCTCTAACGAGCTGGGTCTCGATTACCCCTAACCTCACCGAACAAAGCCCTAGGAAGAGGTGCCCTATTTTCAACTCAACATCCCTATAAGCTTCTCTAGATTTGAAGTGACCACTAATATCCCTAACTTGAACCCTTAGAGAACTCCGCGAATGTGAATCTCTGATGAGCACTCTACAGCAAGCGCCCTGATTTATCCCTCTCTTTCACGGTACCAATAGCTACCAACACAATAAAAACTCTCTGAATATTTCCAAACAGCAACACAGAGCTAATTTATATATTATACTTGGTAAGACTGATAGGTAAAGTTACAGAAATTGCAAATCAAACCAATCCAATGGATCTTCCTGCCTGTGAACCTCGAGAACACGATCAGATAGGTTGGCTCACAGGAACCAAAGATCACGTCCAGGAAAAAAACCTGGCTGCATCCTTTTTCTCACCTTGTGGTGGCAACGACAAACAACAATACGATGGGAGCGCCACCCTTGGCTCGGCAGCGAAAGAATTTTTTTTATTTTATGAACCTTTTTAATTTTTAATTTTAAAAATAAACCCATCCAAAATTTATTTCCCAGATCTGAACCGGCCAGCCAAACTGGGAACTTTTTTTTTATTTTTTGAACCTTTTTATTTTTTTAATTTTAAAAATAGACCTTCCCAAAACATATTTTTAGGATCTGAACCTTTTGGCCATGCCATCCCGCCTAGCGTGGCCAAATAACTTTGCCACGCCACGAGTTCATGGCGTGGTAGTGTTGTTTGGCCATGCCAGCGAGCGTGGCGTGACATAAAAAGCTTGACACGCCACTGTAGCTGGCGTGGCCAAACAACACTGCCACGCCAGCCAGGTTCAGTTTTGAAAATATTTTTTGGAAAGGTCTATTTTCGAATGTCACCGGTTGGTGTGAAACTATACCTTTGTTATGGCCACTTTGTATTGATTACTCTGTCCTTTGATACCTTGGGTTACAATTTGACTAGTTGAGCTTTATATATTGGTTCAGCTAGATATATTAGATATAATTGCTTAGCCATGCTTAGAAACATTAGCACACTATTGGGATAACTAATGTTTCACTACTACTTAATGATGGACATGATAATGGTAGCTCACGATGGCTAATCATGATTGGTTAATTAATTAATTTGCCAACTAAAACTTGATAAATGTGGGTTGTGAGCACATGGTTTTGCTGGTCGTGCTCATGACAATTAAGGACTGGTTCACGAGTTTCGGTTGTGAAACATTAACCGTGCAAACCACAAGCCAGTATGGGCAACAACTTTATCTTTTGTATAGCATGGTTCATTGCGGGGCACCAGACTGAGAAGTGGCGGAGATAAGCCCACGGGGGTCGCTGGGGAGTCCATGCCTTGTGTTTATAAGGGGGTGATTATGATCCAGGAACGGTGCACTGCTTTGAGTTGTGTTGTGCGAAGGGTACTGTCACGATTTCCCCCTTTGCAGTGGCGTGGTGGTACTTCAGGGCATGGTAACATGTGTGGAATCGTGTCTTGTGGGTACAGTGGTACACCTCTGGCCAGAGTAAAACTATTCGAATAGCCGTGCCCGCGGTTATAGGCAGGTCTAACAATGTCTTTCGTGATTAGTCTCACACTTTTCATCATAATAAATGATGCTATAACTGGTAATAATTTGATTAGCTCCTGGTTTTGAATGGTTTATTCCTGGTTTGGAGATAGATCTGTACAGCCGGGTATGGTTGTTCAGGATGGTTGGGCCTGTGCAGCATGGGTGTGCTGTTCAGTGTTGATTAATATTGATGATTAATTACTCTACTGTTTTACAATTCTTAAATGTTTGCTAAATGCTGCTTTTGCAAATGAGCCCTATATTATGTCATCCTTTGGTATCCTTGTGCACTTGCATATTTGCTGTGTGGCTTGCGGAGTATTCCATGTACTCACCTTGTAATAATCAATCAAACCTCAGTTGAAGAAAAGTTACGAAGGAGAAGATGTTTGGCTTATACCCTAGTTGAGCTGCCTGTGGGAGTGGAGCCGGAGCTTCGCTAGATTTTATTTTCCGCTGCAGTTTTCTTCGTGGTGAGGACTAAGTGCCTCTTATGTAAGTATTTATCGTTTTAGTTAACTTGATGAATCTGTATATTAAATTGTCAGTTTGTGTACCTCGGCTGATTTCTGGATGAGGATTTAATGCACAAATAAGTTTGGAAATTACTAGTGAATTTCTGGGCGTGACATGCCGCTCCCGCTGGAGTGATAGCGTTATTTGGCCACGCCGGCGTCGTTGGCTTGACAGTGTTATCTGGCCATGCCGCTCTCGCTGGCGTGGTAGGATAAAATTGTCATGCCCGCTGCACGCGGCGTGACAGAGTTATTTGGCCACGTGCGGGCCAAAAGGTCCAGATTTAAAAATATTTTTTAGAATGGTCTATTAATAAAATTAAAACATAAAAATATCTAAAAAAATATAAAAAATTTCGCAGGGAAAACCCTAGACATGAACTCCAAAGAAAAACCAACCTGCTCCCCCTGTCAACCGTGATCGACCAATTAAAATGTTCGTAGGCCTTCAGGTCAGGCTCGCAGGAATTATTTCCTTTATTTTCTTGGCCCAACGGAGTTACCATTTAGGAATATTTTTGCACTTTGATTTTTTTTTGTCCAAATGTGGCCAATAAGAAATTTAGCCAAAAAATTAAATTCTTCCGTAACGTTATGTTGTGACACTTAAATTTTAATTTTAGTATTTATTTGTTGTTTATATTAATATTAGTTTCATCCGTTGCAACGCACATACATGTTGCTAGTAATTTAAAATCCTATTACCATTTTAATATATTTTAAAAATAAAATATGAAAAAAATGCTATTATGTGAGAAAAATTATAACGATGAGTCACCATACTAGTTTCAAAATAAGTTAAAGAAAAAAGCTATTTAGTCGGCCCTCGCATATAAGGCCCTGTTTCTTTCAGCTTGGGATTATTATAATCCAGATTATTGGGAGTAAGCTGAAAGAAACAGACAACTTATTGAAGTAGCTTATTATAATCTGGAGCCCAGCTTATTATAATATGATAAACTCATTTAGGTGAGCTTTTTCTAGATTATTGGGTGAAAAATTACCCACCATGTCACCCCACTCCCTCTTTAGACTTGCAAACCCAAATAATCTAGGAAAGAAACAACTAACCGGTTATTCTACTACAGATTATAACAATCTAGCTTATAGTAATCTAACTCAATAATCTAGATTATAATAATCTTAAGCGGAAAGAAACAGGGTCTAAGTCAGATTCTCTCTCATGGAGCGCGTGGGAAGAGTCGATTTTTCCTTTTCTTTTTTCAGTTTTCTTTCGGTTTTGTTTCAGTTATTTCAGTTTTTAAATATATAAGTATCTTTCGGTTTATTTTATCTATACACACATCTCTACTATTATAAAAATTGAAGATGTTTTTACCGGTACTTTAGTACATCATCCGTGTATGAGTCCGTTTTTAAGTTCGCTTTTGGAAATAAGTTCGCTTTTTTTAATATATATATATATATATATATATATATATATATATATCCAGGCGAATTTCTACAATAAATTTCACAGCAATTAAACTGTATGACAATAACAAGATTAAAATAATCTTCACCTGTTGCAACGCACTAGTATCTTTTCTAGTAAAATACTTCCTTTGTTTCATAATACAAGTCATTCTAGCATTTCACATATTCATATTGATGTTAATGAATCTAAACATATTAATATGAAGTGGGAAATGCTAGAATGACTTACATTGTGAAACGGAGGAAGTATAAAGTTTGTATGTGTACGTGTATATACGTATCAATATACTTATAGAGAGAGAGGGAAAAGACTAGAGGGGGAAACTGATCGAGCTGGTGCGCGACCGCCCGCGCATCAACCATCCCCATCTCCCTTCCGCTCGCATTTGTTCATTCGCACTCTTGTCATCGAAATATCAAGAGCCGGACGAACATGCAGGAACTGGAGTACTGGACGCACCATCACCCCTCGAAGCAATCCAACATGGCGCCTCCGCTCGCACGTCTCCCGCCCGGAGACCTGCCGTGCGATCCCGATTCCTCCCAAAATCCCTCCTCCGGAGCCAATGCCATGAGCCAAACACAACAACACCCGGGCCTGCGACGCATCCGATCCGATCGAAATGGATGCGGCCGAAAAAACCCAAAAGCAGTAGCAGCCGCAGCAGCAGATAATCAAAGCTGATCGAGGTATGCGCCCAGAAAAGCACAGAACAAATTCGGTTTTAATTTTTCTCTCCAATTCTCCTTCCAAATCCTGCTGCGAGAAAGCTAATTTAATCCGACATGTTTTTTGTTTTTCTCTCCGCAAGCTATGAATCATCGTCGTCGTCATCAGCATCAGCATCAGCAGGCCAGCAGCAGCCGTAGCAAATGTGAGGAATTGGGGAAAATCACGTTTCCGTGCATCGTTCGATCTCCAGTGCCTCGAGCGGTTCGTCCCTCCCGGCCAATCGATTTTTTTTTTTTTTGCCGTTACGATTTTGCCTTTTTTGCTTCGCTTCTGGGGATTAATCGGCGTTTTCCCCTTCATTTTTGGCTCTATTAAATGATCCGAGACCGAGAGGAAACCTAGGGTTCCGTTGCATTCTCGCCCCCATATCCCAGCTCCACCCTTTCCTCCTCCTCCGCCGCCGCCACCACCAAATGGATCGAGCGCTTCCACCGGCGTCCTAGCGGCTCAGGAGTCCCGATTCCGAGTTGTGGCAGTCGGTTTTGGTCTCCTGTTAGCTTAGATCCGCTCGATCCGATTTTCTCTGCTCGATCCCATTTTCGCTGCTCGATCCGATCTGGGGTATTCGTTTGATTTGCTCGGTTCCTTTTGTGTTCCTTGTTGGTTTCGGGTGGAGAACTATTGTGGAGGTCTGATCGATCTGCTGTTGCTATGGGTGCAAACCCTTGCAGGTTTTCAACCATGCCTCATTTCCCTAGCGGCTCAAGGGTGAAGTGCACGGTGCTTGCAGTGCTGTGTGGGAAGGTAGGCAAGCAGCGGGCGCCACCTTGTCCGGTGCCTGGGTCCCAGCAGCAGCGGCCATCGTACCCATTCCCGGAGTTGATCTCGTCCGGGAGGTTGGAGGTAAGTATCCTTTTGCTGTTTATTTTTGTTAAGGAGCAAGTTTAATTGTAGGCTATAATCCATCTAGTATAAACCTATGTGGAGGAGAGATAACCTGGAGAATAAAAAGTGTTAAGCTCTTGTGTATAAAAAGTTAGCTATACACATGCTCTAAGATCAGGGGCGGATCCAGTGTATGGTTACTGATGACACCAATTATTTTTGCTAATTATATTATTAAATATGCTTGGAACTAATAAATTACTCTTAGAATTGGCATTTGCACCATGGTATGTGAAGAGTGACCTCAATGATATTTTTGATAGCTCCACCCCTGTCTACGATAAATGCATTAATTATATAAATGAGAAAAAGAGAGAGAAGAAAATTAGAGACAACCTTATAACTAATCTGTTACACATGTGAGCCCTAATGCTACTTTTTGATTAGCTTATATCTAGTAGTTAGATCTACTATTAAACTTGCTCTTAAGTACATATATTTTGTTTGTCAGTTCTGAACTTGGAAAGCTGGGCATGCAGGTGCACACGCTGATTAACCCTACAGTTGATGAATTTCTGGAGGCACAACGTGCTTTGCAACCCCGCTTCATGTACCTCCGGGGTCAGCAGCTTGACAACGAAGAAGAAATTGGTACACTTGTCTGGCGCGATGCTGATGTATCTGATCCACAGATACTTAGTTCACTCATTCGTCCGCCTTTTCCTACCATTGTATGCACTAAACTCTGCTGATTTTCTATGTACTATACATTTTATCATGTCTAACTTAAACTAGCAAATGTTAGACAATACAATAGCCCTAGAGTGTCTGCAGGGCTGGCGCCTAGGAAATTAGCAAGCATATTACATAAAAATTAGACAGTACAACACTAAATTAGATCGCACAAGAGCACCTAAGGATGGCTAGCCGTCTAGTACACAATGTAATGCCTAATCCCAGGCGGCTAATAGGCGCCTAGCACCGATTTTTAGAGCACTGATGTTTGGCTGCTTGGTGCTTCAGCTCCCAATAGCACCTGGACTATGCTTCTTTTAGCGCTGCAGTCTATATAGCCAATATGCTTCTTTACATGTTTGGTTTACTGATCCATTTTAGTTATTAGTGTTTGCTGATGAAGTTTGCCAATTTGTATAATTTGGGTGCTAGAGTGCTTGCTAATGTAGTTATCACTGCTCTTAGCATACGGTATTGATCTTTTAATTGAGTGATCGATAATACGATTAATTCATGCATGCATGCAGCTGGGATTAGAGCCAGGCAACAATTGCATCAATACTCTTATGGAGCCATAAATATGGGCATTTAGGCTATCTCATTGGGTTTCTTGGTTTAATGCGAGAAAAATACACGGCCGATATAGTTATGCAGAGGGAATAGTTCATAAATGCATGCATCCAGGCTCCCTTTGTTATTGAGGTTGATTGTGTTTTAAGGGCCAATTTAGAGATTAACTAATTGGCCCTTTAAAATTACATATTTTGGTTTTTGTTTTTTTTAACTCTTGTAACCTTGTTTATATATTCCAGATATATTTGTCTGACTTGTAGCTACTAACAATTAAATTTCTTTTTAACCTTCCTCTCTGCCTATTTTCCTGTTTAGTTTAGTGAAAGTTTTTTTTTTCCAATTTTTCCTTAGTCTTCTTCCTTGTAGCTACTCATATTACCTTTTAAGCTATAATACAGGTTTATTTGGAAGTTCCAAGTGGAGAAAAGATTGCTCAATCTCTTCAATCGAAGGTAGTCTGTTTTATGATATTTTCAATTAGCTGTTTCTTATTTACGTTTGAGCTTGTAGATTGCTTATTGCTGCAAATCTCCTTTTGCCACAGGTGGGTATCTGCTTGTTGCGATGCGATATCCAAATGTCCCTATTTATTGGTTAAAAAATCATTTTCTTGTGGAGTATTATAGAGATTAGTTTCCATAAAACAATTACTACTAAACTGCATGTGTTATAACTTGTTTTGATTGGCATAGTGTGGTTCTATTGATGGAAATTTTATATAATTACATGCTTTTAATGTCTGCAATCACTGTCCATTTTTCCACATTCTGATTACTAATTTACATTTTTTTTGGGTAGTTTTACTAAGCTTTCCCCCCCCCCACCCAAAATACAATTCCTAATGTGCTATTATACTTCGGAATCTTATTTCTAATTTCAGATTTGCAATTTTCACACTCTTTCATTGCTAGGGTATTTCATATATAATGTATTGGAGATATTCATTATCATCGTATGCAGCATCTCATTTTCGCCATTCCTTGATGTCAGTTGTTCAGAGGTATCATATCCGTCTTGCATTTGTTGAATATATTGTAAGCCATTAAGTTTTGTTTCTTTATCCAATAATTGTGTATTCCTGTTTGTAGCTCCTGTAGCCATGCATGGGATGCATTTCAGGTTGCATATGCTACTTTTCAACTGTATTGTGTAAGAAATAATGAGGTGCAACGTCTTATGCTTGGGCCTCATCTACTTGGGGATGCTCCAAGGATATATATCACCCCTCCTGGAAACGAAATAGCCGAGGAAGAAGATACCTCGGAATATTTTCCAGACATAAAGATATATGATGAAGATGTGAACTTGAAGCTTCTTATTTGTGGAGCACATTGCACCCTTGTAAGTTTAAGCGATCATGCCTATATTTTTCTTCTAAAATATGGCATTTTTCTTATTCCAAATCAATGATTGTACTTCCATCTCTTTTACAGGATTCATCTCTATTGAACTCACTAGAGGATGGTTTGAATGCTCTTCTCAATATTGAAGTATGTGTCAAATCCTCTTCTAGTTACCATGTGTTGCTGCCTTTTATTTTCTATGTCTAATTAATTAGTGCTGAGTTCTAAATAGAGTATTACCCCAAAGACCTATTTTGTAGAAGTGCTAGGTTATTGGAGTAATGAAGTACATGATGCTAACTTACAAATCAGAAATACTGCTGCATCATAAGTAACATGCTAGTGGCCACCGGCCAGTATTGCTAAGCACCTTATACAAGCTGGTGGGCCGGGGCTAGGTTCTAAAGTCCATACTTGTATGGTGATGGAATGAAGCTCGATGTAGTTTAGTTGGAGTCTCACTTTCTGAGTTGTAAATATTCATTTTAGACTATGCAGCATACCCACATCGAAAAACTTAGTAGTGGTGGTGGTGACTGGTGGGTGTGCCTTCCCACCACCTCCTATTTTGTTTGGTAGGATCTTCTGATTTGTGGATTTATTTTTTGATTGATGTAGGATTGCAAATGTATTTGTTTTTTCATGAAATATATACAAATTTTAAAATTGGAACTTGTATATTTGTTGATTTTTGCAATACAATGGTATTTTGCTAGTACCATTGTATGTAAATTTTATGTACCATGAATTTAGGAACAAGATAATATGGCACATACTTTTCATATTCTCTGTCCATTTTTTTCTATTAAATTGGACAAGAAAAATTATGCAAGTAGTAAAATTGTTGGTAGGGCCTTGTTAATGTTTGATTTTCTTCTCTCCTTTTTTCAGTTTCGATGGTGCAAACTCCAGGATAGAGTCAGGTATCTTCCGCTGCTATATAATACATATTCAATATCTCACAACCTGTTGTATCTTAAATACTATTGCTCATGTGTGTGTTATGTTTGTGCCTGTGTCCTTGCTTCAGTAATCATATCATAATTTTCTATGCCACAGAAATATTTAAAGCTCAAACTGATGTTGTCTCAGTGAGCTAACTTGTATTTTGCTGCTAGTATAATTTAAAGGTTAACTGAGGTAACATTTCCTATAGACTAAAGACAAAACTTAATGGTAACATAAATTATAAATGCTTTTATTGGTGTGTCTTGTAAAATGTAAACTAAAGTGCCGTAGAGTATTTAACCTGTATCCTTTTGTAATCATATTTTAACTTTTATAAAGTTATGCTTCTTATTCTTATTTGCAGTTATGCATGGTTGCTTGCACGATTACTATAAAATTTTTAGCTTGTTTCTGCTCACAACATTTCTCTTTGCAGCGCTGCTCCTCCTCTTCATGTTGATTCAACTCTGTTGGACGGGATGGTTACAATATGTTGTGATATCACAACATCTAGTTCTTCCCATGTGTCACTGCTTCTTTCTGGCAGTCCACAGACCTGTTTTGATGATAAGGTATTGTTTTTGTAATTATGGAGCATTTTTTAGTCTTCAGTTTGATATTTGCAATGTCATATGTTGTTTCATGGCATTATGTAGCTTTTGGAGAAGCATATTAAAAAAGAACTTATTGAGAGCCGCCAGTTAGTTCGTGTTGTCTCGGTTAGCGAGGATGGGCCATCTTCAGCTGAGCCGTTGACTTCAATGTCCGTGGCTTCTGGAGCTTCCACTTTTGAAGTCTTGATGACCTTACCTAAGTGGGCAGCACAGGTTAATTTTTTTCTGAAAAGTTTGAATGATATTGACTAGACAGCTTGGTAATATGTGTGATATACTGACAGTTTATCCACTACTAAACTAAAACATAAGGTGTTTTATACCCTTCTTCATCACTGACTGAAAAATCGTTTGAACTGTGTAGGTTTTGAAATATCTTGCTCAAGAAACATCTTACAAAAGCCTGGTTCCACTTGGAATTGCTTCTGTAAATGGTACTCCAGTTTGTTCGTTCGATAGTCAAGATGTGGATTGGCTTCTTTTCTTTCGCACAATCCAAGATGAAGCTATTGGAACTAGTCTATATCCCCATCCGCCAAGATGGTCTGCATCCCTTGCGAAGAACAGAGTTAAGGGAAGTATGGTGTCAAAACCAGGTAATTCTTAGTGCAAACCGAGTTGGAGTGGACTAGAAACATCTTATGGAAGGGGATTAACCTATTATTTTCATATCCTTTTCAGCTAGGTGAAGGATACAAAGGCAGTGGCAATTTGTAGTTGCGCAAAGGTGGTTTCTATGCCAGATGTTGAGAGAATGTGCAGCTCACTTGCACATCAACAATATACCATAGCAAGGGCAAGGCTCTATGTTGAGTGAATCCAAACTTATACTCCTTTGACGAACTTGTCTTGGTTTTGCTGTGGATCTCATTATCTGGTTGTTGGTTTATTAACCGCGACCAAATTTGAATCTTGAAAGTTGAATTTAGAGATGTTTTTTTTTCCATTGTAGTGTAAGCCTAGGCTTTTAAATCGCTTTACATATTCCCTTTTTTTAATGGCTGCTTCATTCGGTTGATCTCTACATCTTGTCAACGGTAGTCTAACATATTAGAGTCGAAATATTGAGCACTCCTGTGACCTATCAATGATAACTACTCTGCCTAGTACTACGATGGCATCATCAGATCGTTGAAAATTTCTTATTAGTTATGTCCAGTAGGATTATTTAAAATGAAAGTTTCCATAAATTCTACGAGAAATTCATGTGTTCCAAACATAGATTAGATCGAATAGGAAAAAAACATGCTAGTTCGAATACAAAACGATCTCACACTGTGCTGCAACTAGAATGAGTAACGACACCCGACTGCCCTCCATAAGGCAAACCTGCAAAATTTTTGGGACTATCATTGTAAACTATGTTTTATATGCAACGCTAGCTAAATACCTGTGTGTGACAGCAGTAATGTCCTTGTTAAAAAAATATTAGTTTCTACTTCATCCGTTTCATATTATAAGACTTTCTAACATTGCCAATATTTATATAGATGTTAATGAATCTAAACATGTATATATGTCTAGATTCATTAACATATATGAATGTGGACAATACTAGAAAATCTTATAATATGAAACGGAGGAAGTACTTGGTTGAAACAAGATTAATCAATCGAGTTACAGACTACATAACTACTCTACACAAGTAAGGAAAAAAATAGCTAAGTACTCTGATATCATGACCCACATGTCATTGGTCACCTCCACCACTATCTTTTAGATATAGTATATATACTCTAGAAGCAAATTAACAAAACACGATATGTAATCAGACATCATGACCCACATGTCATTGGTCACCTCCACCACTATCTTTTAGATATAGTATATATACTCTGGAAGCAAATTAACAAAACACGATATGTAATGGTATCAACAATGTACATAGTCCATGAAGATTATAAGGTGTGATTCATTTATTTTGCTATTGTTTATTCAAATCACTTCTTTCAATAAAGCTAATGCCCACTAAACACCAAAAGCTCAACATGCAAGCATAGTATTTATTATCACTCCTAAAACCTACATGCAAGCGTGCCACATCAACCTATTAAGCACACAAAGCTTAACATGCAAGAATATAATAATTATGCCTACAATTTATTTCATTCTAAAACTAATCATACACATGTTAAATCATCATTCTCAAATCATTTTATAATATTTCAATCCAAATCATTCCATCATTTCTCCAATATCTAACATATATCCCACAGCAAAGCGCTGGGGCATCATCTAGTCTTTCACAATGCTTGATACCATCTAGGCTCATTGTTAAGTATTCTATTGAATGATGTACTATGCTAGAAGAAGGGTATTAGTTTTCAATTGGAACTACATCACGCTTCATACCCCAAGCAATACCCGGTCCGTCCCTCCCATAGCTAAGTAGTTAACCCCGAGCACCGCTCATACCTTCGAATAGTGTTTTAACTTATCCAATCCGTGTACTATATGTGTTTATCGCAGCCTACAATATCCTCATGTACTAATACATTCTTAATTACTATTTTTTTAAGATTGAAATTGAATGAGTAGAGTAGCATGGCTTCATTGGGTGTATGTGATGGGAGAAGTGCAACAACAGCACCGAGTCTTGTATAAATTCCCCCATGCCCCGTGGAGGCTTGGATCAAGAGAATACAAAACGAAAGCTGCAGCAACCATCGAGGGGCATTGATCAACAGAAGAACCGACGACGGCGGCGGCGGTGGCGGCGGCGGCGACCTAGAGGCCAACACTACTACATGAAATATTTTCCTGGACGCTAGACCTGTTTGTTTCTAGGCTGGCCATAATTGTCACCACATGGGATAATCGGGGGACTGGCAACAGGCTGTCGCCCGCACGGGAAAACACATTATCCCGTGCGGGCCACTTTACTCAACTGCTCACGAAAATGCCGTGCGGGCCTCTTTACTCGCCCCGCACGCAAAAATAATCCTCATCCCCACTCCTTAACTCTCCCACTCCTTCTCTCCTCCCGGCCTCTCCTCTCCTCACAGCAGCGACAGCGGCGGTGCCGGGCGATAGCGCGCGGCGGCCCCTCCCTCCCTCTCCCTTCAGCTCCCCTCCCTCCCCTTGCAGATCCGGCGGATGGGAGGCATGGGGGCGGCGGATCCGGCGGGCGCAGGCGGAGGCGACAGCATGGCGACGGGCGACGACGAAGGCGCGCGGCCCCTCCTTCCCCTCGCACATCTGGCGGAGAAGAGGCATGGGGACGGCAGTGGACGACGGTGGCGAGCGGCCCCTCCGTCCCTCTCCCTTCTGTTCCCCTCCACTTGCAGATCCGGCGGAGGGGAGGGATGGGGGCGGCGGATCCGGTGGTGGGCGTAATCGGGCGATAGCGGGCGACGACGGCGGCGCGCGGCCCCTCCCTCCCCTTGCAGATCCGGCGGAGGGGAGGCATGGGGGCGGTGGATCCGGCGGCGGTCGACGATGGTGGCGAGTGGCCCCTCCCTCCCTCTCCCTTTGGCTCCCCTCCCCTTCCCTCCCTCCCCTAGCAGATCCGGCGGAGGGGAGGGATGAGGGCGGCGGATCCGGTGGTGGGCGCAGGCGGAGGCGACAGCGTCAGCGGCGGGTGACGATGACGGCGTGCGGCCACTCCCTCCCCTCCCCTCCCTCCCCTTGCAGATCCAGCGGAGGGGAAGGGTGTATTCGGTCGGCGACGGGAGCGGGCGGCGGATCTGGCGTGGGAAGCGGGCGATGACGATGGCAGTGGCGGCGGCGGCGACGGTTTTTTTTGTTTTGATTTTTTATTTTCCCGTGTGGGTGGCTTAAGCGCCCACACGTGCGGGTGCCTCTCCCGCACGAAAAAATCGTGACTTTCGCAGACGCTGGGTTCTAGACGGGCGGAACCAACGCACGTGAAAATCGTGATTGTAGTACTACAATGGGTTGCTTGTCAATTCCTTCTCAAACTCAACTTCTACCTCCACCCCCTGTAGTTCTAGAACCCTTATAGAACTTATCTCTCTTTTCTTCTTCTTATGTTCTCCACCAAACAAAGAGCTGTATTCAATATGGGTTGCTAACAGGCCCGTCATTGATTGCACTGTCAATGTCAATTACTCTTCAGATTGGAAATTACTGAGTTGATTATGAAGTGAAATTTGCGGCATTTGCTTGAAATTTGAGGTTATTTTGTTGAGGGTGAGCTTCTTTGCTTCTCAAGGATCTGATGTTGCACAAGTGACAAGACAATGTTCTTGGGTTGTACAAGTAGACTGCTAATGACGTCATGCGCATACTTCTGCCGGATTCAGAGACCACCGCCTTCAGAACATAAGAGCATCCTCAGCCGCTCATCTATATTTGGTCCTCCAAATGTCCATATGGAGTATCATCCAAAAAAGATATCCCTTCCAACTCCAACAGATCATTCATATTACATCATCCATATCTCATCATCCTATATTTTAGGAATATCTTTCCAACTAACTTTACATTTGTATTTTAAGGGTATATTTCCAACTAACTTAATTTTAACGGTGTTATTTATCGCGAAAATATTTTGAAACGAGTAAATTTTAACGGATATATTTTTAATGGATAGTTTTTTAATTGATATATTTGAATTGAGGGAAACATTTTTTTATATATTCGTACCATCATCCATAAAATGAAATGAACATAAAAACACAGCAAAAAATATTCCTATTTCCTATTTCCTTTTACCCTATTCCTATTTCCTATTTCCTCTTCTCTACTACTACTACTACTCTTTTCCTTTCACTCTATTCCTATTTCCTATTTCCTATTTCCTCTTCTTTACTAGGGGTGAAAACGGTACGGAATTTTTCCGGATTCCGGACCTATTTTCGGAAACGGAATCAGCCGGTCGGAAATTTTTTGGAATTTCTCGGAAACGGAATCGAATATGATAATCGCAGTTTCCGTCAGAACTCGGAATCGGTCGGAAACATTCCGGAAAATTTCTCGGAATTTCTGAAGTTAAAAAGGCCCATCCAATCAATAGTCCATAATCCCTCCCCAAGTCCCCAGCAGGCCCAACCCAAGCTGCTAACCCTAGAGAAGAGAGTGCAGAGAGAGAAGTCAGACAGATCGGGAGGGAGGCCGGGAGCGGCGCATCGCCATCCAGAGGCGCCGGCGGCGGAGCGGCGCATCTAGAGTGCGCCACCAACCACCGCTGGCCTGTCGTCCTCGCTTCCTTGGCTCCTCGCGACCTCGCCCCCGCCGTCTTGCATCTCGCGCCGCCCTTCCTCTTCGCTCCGTCCTCGCCCCCACCAACGGCGACGGCAGGAGGCGACGACAACGCGCGAGGCAACGGCGGCAGGCGGCGGCCGCACGGCTCCTTCTAGATTTGGTACTCTCCCTCTCCATGCCTACACCCTCCTCTCCACACTCCACGGCGAGCAGCGCAGGCGGTCGACAGGCTGGTAAGAGGCGGCGGCAGCTTGCGGCTTGCGACGACTTGGCATCAGCAACTTGCGGCCAGCAACGGCGACGACGGAGGCGAGGTCGCGACGGAAGTCCGAATGTGGGCAGGAGATGTGGGCATTGAGATATGGCGTGAGGAGAGAGAATCGCTATATTTGGCCGAAATCTGCTCGCTTTGGCGCATCGTCCATATTTGGCGGACTGGATGCCGTATCTGCTGGAGGTCCATTTTCATCTCGCGTACACCATATATCGGATGGAGGACCGGATGAAGGATCTCCTGGGGATGCTCTAAGGTAGTAAAGAGTAAATTTATCAGAACTCCAGGGCTGTGTTCGTTTTAGGAGGATGGAAACTAATCCCTCCCGCAAGGAAAATGGAGCGGTCCATTAGCGTGTGATTAATTAAGTATTAGCTATTTTTTTTAAAAAAATGAATCAATATGGTTTATTTAAGCAACTTTCGTATAGAAACTTTTTGTAAAAATGCACCGTTTAGCAGTTTGAAAAGCGTGCACGTGGAAAACGAAAGGGGGAGTTGGGAACCACTTGAAACGCCTGGGTGCATAAAACAAAGTATCTTGAACTCCGTACAAACCTCATATACACAAAATTGTGTGTGCGTAGCAACATCTGAAAATCTCATGGCACACAACCTCGGGTGAATGTAGCACTTTTGAACGTGAAATTGAATTCACTTGAACAGAATAGCTACAATGCAAAGCTTGACTCCTGATATTTGGATATGTGCACGCTGCAAAAAATACCGGAAATTTTGCTACTGACAGAACAACAGAGAACCCGGGGAAAGACTCGTACTAGAAAACTTATCCAAATATATTGTATGCCTAAAATTCGAATAACATATTTAACACCTGGAGAGAGAGGGAGAGGGGAGCGCAGGGGAGGGCTGGCCAGGCGGCGCCAGAGGCCGCGCTGGGAGGCGGTGGCGGCGGCCGGCGGGGACGACAGGGCGGAGGGAGGACGAGGCGACGATGCGGGGAAGGAGGATGGGGCAGCGAGCACGCCTACCCGCGCGTTCGCCACGAGGCGGCAACAGCTGGGGCCTGGGGCAGGGGGAGGAGGAGAAGGCGACCGGGGAAGGGGGGGGGGGGGGAGACGGCGTATGATTTATTTATTTGTATATCGAGACTACATTTCAATATAGTATCAGTTAATGATTTATGTTTTTTATAATGGTTTTTGAATTTTAAATGTGAATACGTGTTCATTATTACATGGGAAACTTGCATTGCAAGTGCAATATGGATGGTTTAATTCACAGTGGTTATTACGTGCATGATTACTATCAATATAAAACCTTTCACTGTCCCGTACGATTTGTTAAAAAAAAAGAAACTAAACACAAGACTAGTGGTACATGGACACACGAACAGAGTATATATATACATATATACATATATATATACATATATATATATATATATATACATATATACATATATATATACATATATACATATATATATACATATATACATATATACATATATGTATATATATATACATATATACATATATACATATATACATATATACATATATGTATGTATATATATATATACATATATACATATATTACATATATACATATATTACACATGTGTGTGTGTGTGTATATATATATATATATATATAGACACACACACGGTAGCGCTACCTAGCGCTACTCACAGCCGCTGCGCGCCAGGAAGAAACGTGACGCGACTCACGGTGGGAAAATCCCACCATCGAGCAAACAACCCAGTGTGAAGTTAATAATTAACTTATGTACATTTGGAGGTGGGTTATGATTCCGTTCGCGAAGAGTTAAATTTTTACTTATTTTTAGTTAATGTTAGATAAGAGTTTTACTTTTAAAAGGATGGTATGGTGATGGAGTTAATATTTGACTTATACACGGTTGTGACGTGGATTTGGTGTATAGGTTATTGAGTTAAAAAATAACTTTGTTGATTTGTACCCTGCATGATTCGATGGATGTTTTTTTAACTATAATATAATTAGGGGTTCGCTAATTTGTGTGATAATGCGTAGCCACGAATCTCGGGATTGTACGTACGTACAAGCTAACTAATCCGCTAGAAAATATCTTCGATTACTCCCTGGATTAGCACGGATCAGATCCCGTGATTTCTGTTTGCAAGGTTTGCATTCCCTTTTATAAACTTGACTATCACGGCTTCTGCACAAGTGCCCAACACAGACCCAACTCATCCCATGGATGAGATTGCCCAAACATCTACCGCCAAAGCGACTAATTCCGAAGAACATGTTCCAGCTCCGTCCGTTAATACCACGTCGGAGCACCGTGAGGAGGTATGTGAACTCCCCCGAAGAGTTTCGTGTGTCGGAGCCACCACCGCCTTCCCCAGACCCATTCCTGCTGTCGCCCTCGATGGAAGCAGATGACACGATGTTCGCTGAAGATTTTGGGTACATGTCAACTCCACGCCCATCTCCACCATCGGACATTGATGACCTCAACCCACCTGATTCGGACGTCGAGGATGTTGTCAAGATACAGAACCGAACCTGTACAAAAAGAAGTATCATGATGGAGAATAAAAAAAATTCATGACGGAAGTATAAACCTAGGTTTGTATGCATAAAATGAATAAAATTGTTAGAAACAGAAGTAAAATAGATGAAATTAACGGAATAGCTTACCACCAAAAATACAACACAAGATGTGATTGACGATGTGGGCTTTTGTCGCCAACATCTGATGGTATCGCTCAGTGCTTGGAACACTGCCTTCGACCAATCGATGGCAGCGACCCGATCGAGGTCAGCGGCAACCCATACATCACTCTTGGGTATGTAAAAGTCGGTTGTTGGGAGTAGGAGCTTGGACATAAGAACCATGACTAAGAAACGAACTGCCGAGGGGTTGTCTTTCTGGTTCTTGATCACTTCAATCAGCATTTTAGCTGAGATCCGACCATTCCGTGCAATTCCCAATTCTTGTGTGATCCTGTCGTGCACGCTTCGCACAACCTTGTTAGGTGGGATTACAATATCATGTCCGCCTAATGGGGTCCCCATCACAAGCTTCACGGTGCGAGGGGTGATCTGAATCTTCCGTTCACCATCAATGGAAGGACACATTGTGTCGGGGTTGGTCTTCTTGAGACTTTCAAGTGTCATGCAAGCCACGGCGTCTAGCCCGATTTCCCCCAATTTCTCGTGGTGTGTATTGGACAGCACACGACAAGCCTCCGACGCTAACGTGGCGCTGCAACATGTCAGGTTGGGCCCCTTTGATTCGGGTGGCTGCAAACAAAAATATAGACCTATTGAAATTAAGCATGAATAATAAAAATCCAAAAAAAATGGTGCTAGTATATCAATGCCGACACTAGAAATAAAAATAAAAGGATGTGATTTTTTATCTGATATGTTCACTGGAAAGACGAGGCTATAAATGGCAGTGTTATGAAGTGTTTGCAAAAAAAAGAAAAAAAAGAATACACACAAGATGGTGTGCATAACACTGACATGTATGAAAATAAAAATTAAACGGCATATGACAAACACATAAATCAATTTGCCTATTGTTATGTATACTGAAAAGGAAAAATTGTGAATATAGTATATTACTCGCATACATGCGAGACAGAACTGAAAACAAAAGAATCGTATATTTGCAACCAAAAAGATGGACCAATCCTCATTCTAGTCGGCACGAGCCCGTGGGTGGGTCGTGGGAATCAAACGAAAACCGAAATATACTGCATAACACATTATAGTAAAAAAAAAAAGAAGCTATTGATGCATAAAGGATATCGCTAATTTGACTGAAAAATAACAACACATACCCATGCGCTTGACTGATCAAATTAAAGGTAAGTCAATTGCAGAGCGCTGTAGATAGATACACCTAGGGTATCCGAAATTGTGACACAAAGAAGAGTAAAAAGAAATAACTTATAATCGCGTATGATGGATTTGTGCACGCAAACTACGCACACCCTGCTCTCCCCTGTTGCGGTATGGATCCCCAACATGAGTAAATTTGTATCAATTAACATATGCCCAAAATAGTCACTGGAAAAAAAGGTAGCAAAAGATTGACTGAGTTTTGTACTAACCTCATCGCCTGATGCGTCTTCATCGGCCGACTTAGCCCGCCGCTTCCTTTTTGGCTTCCTATGTGTTGCTTCATCTCCAGCCATTGATGAAGAAGTTGCGCCGCTGACCATGGCCTGTGGAACACAACTTCACACGCGGTTTGCGAATCGGCGAACCGAATCCTCTTCACCCTTCCTAAAGGGAGCGACGATACATTAGGAAGAATCCCTAGATTGCGGTCGATTTGGGATGGGGAAACGAAACCAGCATCCATAACACAACGGATAAAAATCGGGGGATATCACATTTACCTGTGGCCGACTTGTGGAAGAAAATCAGTGGGAATCAATCCCGGCGGCGCCGGCGATCTCCGGGGCAGAGGCGGCGAGAGAGGAGGGAGAGTTCTTCTTGGTCGACGGAGAAGAAAGAACTGGCCGTAAAATGTGGGGAAGACGATAACTCCGATGGTTTGAAAAGACTAGACCCTGAAGATTCGCTGCTATTCGCACTGTAGCTGCAAGGGAAAAAAAGGAATCGTAAATAACAATACATTGCGTGTCGAGTTAAGAAATAACTCGCCGTGCATCCGCATCGATTATTAAATAAACAACCCATGCCTAAGTCGCTAACAGTTAAAATATAACTGAAAACTCATTATGTGATCTAGTTGCTTCGATGAGTTAAATAATAACTCAATGTGTGCACACCATTGTAACCGAAAAAAAAGAAACACACAATGCCTAAATCCCTTCCACTTAAATAATAACTGTCTTGTCGTGCATGATAAAAAAAAGTGTTTGAATCCAAATAATAAAAAAATGGAAAACATTTAATTAAACATTTAGAATAAATGTCGGAAAATTAAAAATAAATAAATCAAAAACAGATTGTTGAGTTTAAAAATAACCCCATCTAATGATCTGTGCTACGACGCCCGCTAGTGTGTGGTTTGAATGATGCCTGAAGAAAAAAAATAAAGTTAAAATTTTGCTTAATTGAGAATAGCGACACTGTAAAATATGTGATGGATGTTGTACAACACTGAGTTAACTTTTAACTATGTACTATTAATCTGGTGTGATGCGGGCTGCGTGGTCGGTGGCGGTATGTGGGGCAGAGTGGTTGTGAGGTTGTATCAGGTGCCATTTAATCCGTGGCACCTTAAGGTGCCCTATTGTAGTTATATATATATATATATATATATATATATATATATATATATATATATATATATATGTGTGTGTATATAAGCGCACACCGCACGCTGGTGATCGAGTTTATTCTTTTGCAGAACTATACAAGCACACACGCATGTATATATATATATATTTACTAGTAAAAGTGTCCGTGCGTTGCAACAGGAATTGTAAAGACTAGAAAATTGAGAAAAATTTGAGAAAGATATGTATTATGTAATTAATTGAAATATAAATTTCCGAAAATATTTGGTATTTTTTAAGTAGGTAGATATATAATTAAATTAGTTTAGTGTGCGAAATAAAATTATATAGTTGGATTTAATTTTATTGAAGTCTCCATGATTAATTACAATATTTGGAATTTTATTGAAATTTCTAGAGTTTAATAGCTAATTTTGATAGTACAAGCATTATTTCAGCATTTATTTAAATAAAAAAATCAACCTTGGTCTCTAGGCCATTTTCAGCCCGCTTTTATCCCTTCTCCTCCCCTCCGTCTCAACCTGTAGGAAAGCATTCGGCCCAACAGGAAGTGTAATTTGGCTCCCCCTACTCCTCCTCTCATTGCCGTGTGGCCCCCAACCGAAAGTCCAACCTAAGTGCTTTGTTGGACCAGCCGGCCAGCGTGCTGCGTAGCAGTGATGCGGCCTAAAGATGGAGGCTGGCCCAACACGGGATCGATCTGAGCCGTTCGTTTTGATGGACGGCTCAGATCGATTTTGAATCCATCAAAATCGTCGCGGTTAAAAAATCCCTAACCCTAATTCATTTTCCCCTCCCTCCCCTCACCGCAGGCCGCCTCTGTCCCCTACCAGCGGCGCCCCTCCTCTCTCCCCACCAACGACGCTACTCCTCCCACCGCGAGCTGCCCCTTCCCCACCGGTGGCGCCTCTCCACGCCCCTCCCCCACCGGTGGTGCCTCTCCATGCCCTCCTTTCTCCCGCGGTGCCGCTCCCCCTCCCTCCCCCCCTAACCATTGGCTCCTTTAATTCCTCCTCGTCGGGGTGCTGCTGCCATCCCACTCCTCGCCAGATCCAGCAAGTCGGTGGCTCCCCGGCGGCATGGTGGCTCAGGATTGGCTCCTCCCTCTCCCTCCCAGCATCTTCCTGGCGCAGAGGCGAGCCAGCGACTTCCCAACGCAACCGCGGCTACTCCCCGGCTCCCTAGCGACACAGTGGCGGCTCGGCTGATCCCCGATGCAATGACGGGACGGCGGAGGAGGAACGGTGGCCTCCCGCTCGCCCCTCCATCTCCTCTCAACATCTCTTAATATTTTGGATGATTTTGTGATGATTCCGATTTAGATTTGGATTTGGATTTGGATTGAGATTATGTTTTTGGTTGGACTTGGATTTTGATTATGTGGGATTTGGAGAAAAGGTGCGCGCGATGTTGCGAACGGACGGAAAATGGTAGTACGGACTAAAAATCGATGTGATGATCGAAAGCTACCAAATTTTTAATTAGTTAAGATTCTCTTTGTCTATTTTTTTTTTGCTTTTCTCTCTTCTTTTATTCCGCCGTTTTTCTTGCTGATAGTGTTCTGGCCTTTTTTTTTTTTCCTTTTTTGCCGGATATTTTACTGACGCCGTTTCTAGATGTTTTTTTCGCCGTTTTCTTGGGGACGGTTTTTTTTAAATCGGAATCAAAATTTCTTTTCTTTTTTCCGTCTTTCTTCCTAACGGCGTTTTGCCGCGTGTGGGGGTTACTTTTTTTGCGGGGTTTTTTTACCGATGCCGTTTTCTAGAAGGCCTTTTTTTTCACGCTGTTTTCTTATGAACGGTGTTTTTTTAATCAGAAGCGGATTTTTTTATTATATGGACGAAGGAAGCATCTTATACTTTTTAAGTAGTATATATATACTCCCTCCATATTTTAATGTATGACGCCGTTGACTTTTTAACCAATGATTGACCACTCGACTTATTCAAAAATTTTATGCAAATATAAAAATACTTATGTCATCCTTAAAGAACCTTTGATGATAAATCAAGTCACAATAAAATAAATTATAATTACATAATTTTTTTAATAAGACGAAAGGTCAAACGTTTGTCAAAAAGTCAACGGCGTCATACATTAAAATACGGAGGAAGTAATAGATAATGGGACTGCCTATACATTTATCGACAAATTTTTCCCCAAAAATTTGACAGATGTAATTATAGTACAATCGTAACGTAATTACACTGTAACTTATATCCAATTACACTGTAACTTGCATGTAACTACACTGTGACTTGTAAGTTTCACATAATTTTGAATCGTTAGATCTATCACAAGATTTGTTTTGGTGAGGAAGAAAACAAATCATAGCACACACATATATGAAAGAATTTGTTCCCACGACCTCCATTTTACCGAAATAACATGTTGCGGAAAGATTTTTGAAAGTTACATACAAGTTACACTATAGTTACAGTGTAATTACATGCAAGTTACAGTGTAATTACACTACGATTGTACTGTAATTACATCCGTCAAATTTTTGGGGAAAAATTTGTCGATAAATATATAGCAAAATCGATAGATAATAGATAATAGATAATAGATAATAGAAATAGATAATAGATATAAATAATAGAATAGATAGATAGATAGATAGATAGATAGATAGATAATAGAATAGATAGATAATAGATAATAGATAATAGAAATAGATAATAGATAATAGAAATAGATATATGTCGTACGCGTCAAACGATAGATCGGCGTATGTCGGCTAGCTCCGATAAGTCTATTACTTGCTGAAGCACTGGTTTTCCTTGGAGTATTTGATCAAGCAGGCGGTGAACACCATCCAGTTGAAATCTCTGCCTTTGCACCAGTTGGTGACGACATCCAGCATGCAATTGTAGCAACCGCTTGTGTCGCAGTTGCACGTCGTGGCGCCGGTGGCGGCAGTAGTTGCCGCCGCCGTCATCATCATGGACTGCCCCACGGACAAAACCACCAGACAGACGACGGCAATCTTAGCCGCGGCGGACGCCATTGATTGGGCTGGCCTAGCTGGTTACAATATGTTTCTCTAGCTATAGTGCACAAATGATGATCGAGGTAGCAGCTGGAGGGGTGTAGATGTGTTGTTGCTACGTACTGTTATTTATAGAGGAGGCTGGGCAGATCGATCGATCGACGACACCACTGTGCATGCATCAGAAGCGCTAGTTAATTTCTTCTGGTTCGATTCACTGTGGCTGCTGTAGTCGGCTGGTGTCTTCTGAAACTGGTGGCTCTTCTCACACTTGTTTACACATATATATATCATTAGCTGCTTAATACCACCTCTTTCCTAAATGCGAAGAGTTTTAGGTTTAAATATGCCTATAAGAAAGTATGTAGAATTAAATAAGAGAATGTTGTGAATAGTTGGGAAAAGGAAATTGGTGGAAAATTAATTCGAAAGGTAGAAAGTTGTGATTGGTTGAGAAAGGTATATATAAGTTTTTATATTTTATTACAACTTTTAAACGCTATAAGTTATTATATTTTGGGATGGAGGAAGCAATACTTTTCTATGGTCAGAAAAGAAATGTATGACAACATATACAATGTATACAGTTAAAACACGGCAATCTAATACCTTTGTTTTTAATAGATGATGCTATTATACTTTTAAAATAATATTTAGCCATTCATCTTATTAGAAAAATTGTGTAAATATGCTTAAAGTATCACACCTAAATTTCCTTTAATGTTAAAACATATATATCACAACAAAATAACTGATATTTATATAAATTTTTTAAATATGAGAATAGTCAAACATCATATAAAAAGTCAACGGTGTCATCAACTTAGAAAACGGACAGGGTATATAGTTTTCATTTAAAGTATAAGTTTTGACAATATCAGATAGATATATCCAGTTTTTTTTCATAACAAATGTTACCGTTGTTACACCAATATTGCTAGCTTACCTAGGTTTGTTGTAAAGGATTTCATGTTCAGAATTACAACTTATTTCACTTTTTCTTTTTTGAGAATTACATAGTACAACGCAAACACTCTGAAAAGCCAAAAATGGCATTCTTCTTTCACCAGTGTGAGTTGATGCGTCATCTTATCATGCGGTGTGGCTTACTAAAGGTTATGTTCAAAATAAGCTATCTGTTGATCGTTCATTGTCAAATAAAATTTGTATTAAAAAGGTTAAAATAAAATGTATGTGCACCTCAAAATAAATTCAAGCGAAGTAAAATAAAATGTATGTGCGCACCTCAAAATACAATAAAATGTACCTGCACCTGGTTCAATAACTTGACGTAGGTGCTCGCATTTACATTTTTTTTTTTGAAAAAGGCCGAATTAATCCCTAAATTATTGTGAAGGTACGAATTATCTGGCCCCCTCAATTCAAAAACCAGATACTAAACCAGATAGTTTAGTG